CTGCGGTCCTAGCGTGAGTTCGCCGTCCGAGCGGGCCCGCGGGGAGGGGCGGGGGCCAGCACCTGGGGACGGTGGTGCGCCCCGAGGTGCCAGACGCAGGCCTGAGAACGTTCGCGGCAATCAGGGTGTCTGTCTCTTCTTAAGCTCATGTTTTTATTTCGTTTCACCATTCTTTCGCCCTTTGCTACTTTCCTCAAAACACTTTTCTGTCGCCTCTTTGAATTTGTGGGTCAGGAATTTGATGAATCATGTGTGATGGTGTGGAGGGTGCCTGTGTGGGGGTGGGTGCGTGCGCGCGTGCAAGTAGCTATAGAGAGTTGGGTCAGAGTACTGAGAACATATTTTTTTCTGGGGTTTTTTGGTTATTTTTCTTGTAAAACTAGGGAGGCTCAGATTCCTGAAAGACCTCTCTTGGCTTGCCAGAGGCAGTTAACCCGACCTCAGGCTTCCTCACCTCTCACTGCCTTTTCCAGAAAGCTGAGGTCAGGCACGCACTGGCTCCATTCTCCAGCTGGGGACCGGTGCTCTTTTGTGAATTCACTTTCCTGGAGACAATATTAAGAAAGAGGTAGTAGTTGGGAAGGAAGTTAAAAGAGAAAAAAATAAGCTAGAATTTTGCTGGAAATACAGGGAGTGCTCAGGGAGCCAAGCCTACTAAAGATTTGGAGGAGAAAGGGAAAGGAAAAAAGTCTAAAAATCTCCAGAGCACAGACCCTGGAGGCTTAAATTCTGGGGCAGGCACTGTTTTTCCCTCAAGGGAGAGATGAATCTGGAGGGTTCTGATTAGGAAGACATGTGAGTTGGATGGCTTGAAGATGGCTGTAGATAAGAATACATCCTGGGGACAGAAACCAGACTGGTTTCGTCTAAATATGAAACCACAGGGACCAATAGTTGAGAGATCGGTGAAAGAAGGTGAACTAAATGAGGCGGCTGACGGTGTAGGACACAGGAGGGAGGAAGGATGAGACAGAGCAGAAGGGTTTGGTGTTTGTCTGTTGACACTGTTCCCCAAAGCAAAGCCTGACAGATGGACCTGAGTGCAGGAAGCTGATCTGAGCAGTGAGCCCAGCACTGCAGTGAGGACGTGGGGAGGACAAATCCTGGAAAGAGGGGAAGCCCGCAGGGAAGGGCCTTTATGTCATGTATGTATGACTTAAATGTCAGGTTTCAGCTTCAATGTCACTTTCTCATGTAGGCCTCTCCTGCCACCCAATTGAAAGTAATTTTCTAGTTGCTCAATATCACATCACTGTGTTTTATTTTTATCTAACAATTATTAATTGCTGCATTTTATCTGTTTATCTAACGAGTTATTTACTGTCCCTCTCCACCTCAAGTATCAGATTCATGAAAGCAGGGACTTTGTCTGTTGTGTTCCTTGCCACATCCCCAGGGCCTGGCATATTTTGGGGAACCTGGCAAGTGGTTTTCATATGAATGCATTTAGTTGTTTGAGTTTTCACTCGTTCCTTATTTTGTTCTGACCAAACTGAGTCTTTGCTCTCTTCTGCTGCAGCTGACTGAACCATGGCGACAACTCCCGCTGCTGCCTTTGAGGCCCTCATGTCTGGAGTGACAAGCTGGGATGTCCCCAAAGACCCCATCCCCAGTGAACTCCTTCTGACTGGAGAGGCCGCCTTCCCAGTCATGGTGAATGACCAGGGCCAGGTCCTCATTGCCGCCTCCTCCTATGGTCAAGGCCGCCTTGTGGTTGTGTCCCACGAGGGCTACCTGCTGGAGGCCGGCTTGGCCCCATTTCTTCTCAATGCAGTGGGCTGGCTCTGTCCCTCGCCTGGGGCTCCCGTTGGAGTGCACCCATCCCTGGCATCACTAGCCAGCATCCTGCAGGGCTCTGGGGTTGAGGCCCAGATTCAGCCAGAACCGGGAGAACCCCTGGGGGTTTACTGCATCGATGCCTACGATGACACCATGACTGAAGAGCTGATCCAGTTTGTGAAATGTGGAGGGGGCTTGCTCATCGGGGGCCAGGCCTGGTATTGGGCCAATGAGCACGGCAGCGACAAGGTGCTGTCCAAGTTCCCTGGGAACCAGGTGACCAGTGTGGCCGGAGTGTACTTCACTGACACCTGTGGGGACAATGGCCAGTTCAAGGTCTCTAAGAAGGTGCCCAAGATCCCTCTCCAGGTCAGGTGAGTGGTGTTTCCCTATGGGGAGTCTGACACATGTTCACAATACATTTGATCCCCCTCTTCAGTGAGCGTCCACTTTTAATACACATACTTTTTCACTCCTTTTCAGAACCACCACAAATGAAAAACAGGATAATTAAAATGCACTGAGGCCCAAGAGGGGCTGGGTTCTCACTGCAACCCCTGCTTATGGCCAGAGCGACAATCAGTCTAATAGGAAAGCTTGTCATATTGGCCACGCTGTCTCCCGTGTCTGGTGCCTGAGACATGGAGAGTGTGTGCATCTCTTAAAGGAATGAGAAAGCATTTGCTCCCTTGTGTGAGCACGTATCATGTCCCAGGCTCCATGCAGCAGACAGAGCCCTGCTGCCTTGTCACTTATATTCCAGTGGAGAATTAGGCAGTTAAGGAAACAAAAAGATATAAACTCTAGCAGGTGTTGATAAGAGCTTAAAGAAAAGTAAAGCAGGGTAAGTGATAGAGTGACAGCGAGTGGAGTGTAGGGTATTTTGTTTAAGGTCATCAGGGAAGGTTTATCAATCAGGCCTGGTCAGGATTAGTTCGTGTTTCAAACAGAAGGGATTTAATATGGGGAACTAACTAAACCGGTGATCCACGAGCTGAAAACTGCACAGGCGACAGCACAGTAACTGAAAGATGAGCAGCAAAAGGACCCACAGAGGGAGGTGGGGGTGGTCCTGGAGCCCAGGTCCTGCAGCCGCCTGGTGGAGCCTGGGGCGGTGCTGGGCCTGTCCAGTGGGAGCTGGGACCCCAGATGTATGTAGGAGCTGCATGGTGGAACCTGAGTCTCAGAGAAGACACAGTGATGGCCAGAGACACAGACTGGAGAGAGACACATCGCTTGACCCCTTCCTCCTTCCTGTCTGCCTCCATCCTTCTGCCTCTAATGGGCTGAACCTACCAGAAGCTGAGGGCCCAGGAAATGCAGATCCTGCTACGCAGGTGACAGACAAGAGTGAGAAGAGGATCTGAGGGCAAATAAGCCAGTAGTCAGCTTGGAAGTCTTCTCTGGTCTGGTGACATTTAGAAGACCTGAAGGAATTTAGAAAATGGCCATAGGGCCAAATATGTAAAGAGGGTTCCAGGCAGAGCCAGGAGCAAAGATGAGAGTCTAAAGCCGAGGCCCACTTGGTTCATTCCAGGAACATCAAGGCAGCCAGTGTGACTGGAGCTGAGTGAATGGGGACTGGAGCTGAGGTCCTACAGGAACTGGAAGTCCATGGGTGGACCTTTAACTCTTATCCGTAGTGAAATGAGAAGGCATTTTTGGATTTTGAAGAGGGTTGACATAAGGTACTTACAATTCAAAAAGAATCCTTGATTGATGGAGTGATGGTGGAGAATAGACTGTAGGAGGCAAGGGTTGAAACAGGAGCCCATTCAGGAGGTACTGAAATGAGAAATGGTGACCTGGACTGCAGCCGTAAGGAGGGGCTGGAGGTTAGTTTCTGGGCCCAGCAGGCTTGGCTATTCAACCGAATATGCAGTAAGCGGGGAAGAAGTCAAGAGTTTTGGTGGTCGAATGCCTTCAGGATGGGCGTTGCCGCTTAAGGAGCTGTGAGCGACTAGAAGACAGACTAGAGGTGAGGAGTTTAGTTTGGGATATCTGGGGCTTTAGGGAACTTGTTAAATCAGTAAGTCACTGTGTTGGGTCACTGTCACAGAAGCCTTACAACAGTGGACTGACCACGTAGGAGGTTGTTTTCTCACGTAACATGAAGTCCAGGCAGGGCAGGCCTGGGCAGTGACTCCCTGCTTCGTGGCCTCCCAGGTTCGTTCAAGCGGATTCATTCATCCTCTCTCTCCACCCCCACCATCATGGTGTGTCACTTTTACCTTTATGGTTACGAGATTGCTACTGCTGCTTCGGGCACTGCAATTACACCTGGGCAAGAATAAGCTAGAATGGGTACACCTGCTGAATATGTCCCTTTTAATGCAGAAAATAATATATTTTCTGGCAGCCTTGACCAAAAGACTCCTATTATATTTCAGTAGCCAAAACTAGCTCAGCTGGTCAACTCTAACTGCCAGAGGGTCTGAGGGGCTGAATATTTTTAAATGGGCACTGGCATCTCTGAAGAAATCAAGATTCTGCTACAAGGAAGGGCATACACATATTTGGCGAGCACCTTGCAGTGCTCTGGGCCCTCAGCCCCACACCCTGGCCCACTTGGACTTCCTTCCCTCTGGGAGGGTTGGGAGGTGATGGGTTTCTCGGAGATGGCAGGGTGGATCTGATTCATTCCAGCTTGTCTTTGACTCTAATTCTAAGGGACTAACAGGTTAAACCCCATCGATCTAGTTCCTCTTAATTGTTCCAAAGGACTCCTGTCCAGCAAACTAAAACCTGTTTTTCTTCATCTATGCCTACATATTTCATCTCTGCCGCTAAATCTGGGATATATTTTGTGTTTATTTTAACTTTTAATTATGGAAAACTTCAAACGTATGTAAAAATAGAGATACTAGAGCCCCCATGGAGTCATTTCATCTGATCTCAAAACCAGCCCACTCACAGTCAGTCGAATTTCAGTCATAGCCCCACCCTTGCCTCACCCCAAATTATTTTGAAGCAAATCGCAGGCATATTCCATCTGTATTTCAGTATGTATCTCTAAAGGTTTAAACTGCTTTGAAAATATAACCACAAGGCACCATTATCACACCTAAAAGAAGTAATACTTCCTTAATATCATTATTCATCTCCACGATTATCTCATTTTTTCTCAGTTTGTTGGAATTAAGACCCAAATGTTTTGATTGCTTTTATGTCTCATACAAGGTGTGAGTTTCCTTTCCAGCTCTTTTCATCTCTTGCTGCCTTTTTGTTGAAGAAACTAGGTATTTTGTCGTAAGAGTTTGCTTCAGAATTCAGTCTGTGTTTTGCTGACTGGATCCCTGTGGTCTCACTGAATGTGTTCCTCTGTCCTCTGTATTTTTCGTAAATTTGAAGTTAGATCTAGAGTCTATGGCAGGGGTTGGCCAACTATGGCCTGTGGGACAGCCCCCTGTTTCTGTAACTAAAGTTCTACAGAAGCACAGATGGGTCTGCGTGTGTACGTACTGTCTGTGGCTGTGTCTGAGCCACCGCGGCAGAGCTGAGTAGCATCAGTGGAGGATGTGTGGCCCCCAAGCATAAGATGTTTATAAGCAGCTGCTAAGAAAAAGCTTCCCACACCCTGGTTGAGCGGCTTGATTGGATTCATGTTTGAATTTCTGGCCTGTTTCCTGGGTGGCAGCACGTACTTCCTTGGGTTAGAAGGCAGCGTCTGTTTCTCTCCTCCTGACGTCAGCAGTCTAACAGTCATTGCCTAGCCCTTGATCCATGAACTCATTAGTGGTTATCAAATGGCAGGTTTAAAATTCTAGCATTCCTTTTATTTAATATTTTTGGAATATTCTATAAAAAAAAATTCCTTTCGTTAGCTACAATTGTTCCTTTATATCTGTGGGGGGTGGGTTCCAGGACCCCTGTGGATACCAAAACCTGAGGAGACATAGTCCCTTACATAAAGTGGCAGAGTGCAGTCCATCCTCCCTATGCACAGGTCTCACATCCATGAATTCAGCCAACCCCAGACTGGAAGGGACACAGGGTTGGCAGAATGCATGGTTGTACAGATACTGAGGACAGAATATATTTGCTTACCACGTGGTATAATTTACATAGGGAAGGCAAGATACATGCTTGATCCTCCCCGTCCCTACTCCTTTTAACATTTTCAAAATACTGAGCTGGATCCCTAGTGTATTCCAATAGTTAGCATTGTGTTTGAAACTTTAAAAAATTTTTAATTTTTTTAAACTTTCGTTGTTGTTGTTTGTTTTGTTTTTGTTTTGGGAGGAGGTAATTAGTTTTCTTTTTTTTATTAATGGCGGTACTGGGGATTGAACCCAGGACCTACTGCATGCTAAGCACACACTCCTAACGCTGAACTGTACCCTCCCCTCCTTGTTTGAAACTTTTTTAGTATCATTATGAACTCACGGATTGAAACACACCCACATAACAAATGTGTTGTTTTATTTATTATCATTATCAATGCCAAAATTGTCTTGTGTTTGGCCACTGTGAGCCTATTTGAGTTGATTACTGAATCTTTTTGACCTAACCTTGATTTTTACTGTAACGAGAAGTTTCCGTGTCATGTTACACATTCCCTGCCCCAAACCCAAGATCAGCCATTTCTCCAAAAAGCCCTCATTTTTTAGTGGAAAATGGTATTTAGAAACCACAATCCGCTGGGTTGATTATTTCTGGGTCTTCTGAGTGGGAAGAGCTAGGAAATAAGTATTTTTAAAAGTAAACACATCAAGAGTTCACACTGATATTTCAGGTTCAGGTTTGGATCTACAAAGTTTTATTTAATTTCAGCAACCTTATATCTGTGTCTCCTTTTATCCCATGATGAAAAATCCTAGTTCTGTGAGAAAGCAACATCATGACTCGTTTGCTTTACCCCACAATACACACATAACAACTGCAAAGTAAATGTACTGCTACCAGCACAATTAAAGATTCTATTAGTTCTTTCTATCCTTATGGCATGTTTTATTAGGTTATCTAAAATCAAATAACCATCCTTAAAGTCACTTAGAATACTTTTCTGTGATTCTACCACTGAGTGAATACACACGGAGATTCGTTTGGTTATTTTACTTTTGCTTTTCAGAAATACTTTTGCAAATTAATTTTAATTTATAGCTATGTAAAATAGTCATGTAGATCCAAAGTAAAATCTCAAGAGCCTATATTCTAGCCCTGTCCCCTTCGTATAATGTCCTTCCTTGCTCCCTTTCTAAAAAATTTGTTTATATATAAGTACACACACACACACACACACACACACACACGCACATTGGGGTCCTTTTCTTTCCTGAATAAGGCAATAGTGTACTATGTGTATTCTCCTCCCCCCTTACTTTTCTACTAAAAATGATTTCCTGGATGTGGCTCTATAATAGTACAGAAATAT